TAGCCCAGAGAGGCAGGGGCATGTTCAAAATCAACATAGGGGACTTTCCACCTCTTCTATTTCCCCTGGATTTTTTTCATGCAGCCTCAGTCTGGCCAGGAGAGAATATTATAGTAAAACAATATCCCAACAGTAACTTTAGAAAAGGACCAAACTAATGAGCTGCTATACCTCGGCAATAGCTCACCGATGAACCATCCACCTCCCTACTGCTAGTGTGTCTTGCAGTTTGGTCTTCTTTCCAATTGTCCATGGAGACCAAACGATGAGGGGGCAGAAGAGGTAAACAGAGACATCTGTTCATGCCCATTTCTAACCAACACAATCTCCTACTCAGTCACGGGGGAGAGTGTGGATTCTGACAGTGAGTCAGAGCCAAAGGGAGGCGGTGTGAGAGGTGGCTTTGGTTTGGTCTATGGAAGGAGGCAGCTGTGACTCAAACACTGCATACTGATGAAGCTGGAGCAATTTCTCTGTTTTCCCTCCTAATTAAAGGGGGGTTTGCTCCCCAACCAGTCTGCTGTGGGCTGTGTGTTGTACGCTGTGGCTCCAGTAAGCTAAATGCTCTACTGCAAGGAGGTGAAAAGTGGGATCCTCCTCAGAAAGAGCAAAGCTACAGAGTGCTTAAACTTAATTTTCTTCTCACTGCTTTGCCTCTTTCTCTTCTCCAATGTGGTTCAGTTGTAGAAGATACAGAAGCCCTGATTTAGAAACTGAAAACAAAATGACCAACCTCAATCATGAGATGCGATAACATATGCATTATATGCAGGATCACGGTGAAGCTTCTCTATATCTGTGAGATAGAGAAGTACTGATGGCAAAAGTTTGTCCTACATGTACTAGCCAATAAATGAGAACTCCACACAAGAATACCATGTGCACATTACTAATTTACGTTTCTAGGATAATAGTTCATTGGATAACACAACTTTCTTTTGGTTGGGGTGGCAATGGATAAATTTGCTACAAATTTACTCTTGTAAGCAGGAGAATATAATCAATGTACTGTGTAAAAAGAATTCATACACACACACTGGTGCCTCTTCAGAATTTGCCTATCATTTCTGAAAGCTCTATATTTGTTATGGTCCACTAGGCTCTGATCACAAGTATTTCCTAGAATGGTTCTAAAAATCACTCATTATTTTGGTCTTTATTAGTGGGAGATGATTTACAAATGTATCCGATCATATGATGCAGAAACCATTTGTTCCTGCTTCTAAGCTGACAACAACATTATTAAAATAAATGTATTACACAACTATAGTTTACTTTACATAATTACTATAAATAGAGCTTTTACCAGGATGGTAGTGGACTGATATGCTTTCATTTTAAAATTAGCTAGATAGCCTGGCATACGCAGGAAAAGTCACTCAGCACACAAAAAATTCCTCTTCTTTGTGTGGTGCAGATGAAGCTTTTCCTTAATATTTATCTGGTCTGTGATAGATGGCTCTGATCGAAAAGCTATCAGAGTGAATCTCCACCATGACACTACTCAACAGACAGAAGGAAAATGAAGGAAAGTATGATATTATTCACAAACGAATATTCAAACAGCACAAGTGTCTATGCAATGCATTCCTTATTCTGCTCTGCTGAAATCAAAGTGAGTTTTGCTATTGGCTTGAACAGCACTTGCTCCCTTGAAGCACTCAGCACCATGAAGTATATAGTCCTTTCAGTTCTGCACGGAAAATTCAGTATCAGCTATTTATGCAACAGAAACAGTATGAATGCCATGAATAATGAAATATTTTATGCTGAATCAGTCATAACTTCTCTGAAAGCTTCTTGCTGCTTTCCACTGGTCATTATGTGGAGAGATTCCAACTCTTTCATTCCACTCTGTCACTGCACCCTTGCCAAGAGCAATCATTAATTCAATAACTGTCCTAAGCCCTTCCCAATACTCAACCTGTTCAGTGATAACAGCCTGTGCCTCTGGCAGGTTGGGGCAAGGAAGGAGGGTTCAGCCGTTTGGGCAGCATTTGCTGGATGCTGACAACCAACCCACAGGTGGGTAAGTTGATACCACAGCTGGATCTAAGTCACAAGCCACCTGTGTAACTGTGCTCCTGTGTCATATGGTTAATTACCTTATGCTTTCTGTAACAACAAGGTTTGTCCATTCTTTTAATTGCAAAAAAATGATTTTAAAACAGCTTTCAGTCTTCAGAGGGCAGACAGGCTTTGAACAGGCTAGAAACATATCCTGAGGCTTTCACTCCACAGAAGAATTTGCTCCCAGTACATCAAAATACAGCATTCATAGTTAAGAAAGCAGAGAGTGATAGAAGATAGTGGCATTTTGCCACCAGCAGGGCAATTATCAAATAGGATGCATTTCAGCTGAACGCACATTTTCTATCTGTTAGTTACAGCCTCTCTTCAATGCTTCCAGAGATATACTTTTCTGAATACATACTGTAAAAGGTAGGCAGTACTTTTTCTCCTCTTTCCTATATATGAATACGTTGGTTTTGGCTTTCTGGGTTCAGTGTTACGGATTATATTTAGCATATGGAAAGCTTTTAAATACGTATTGCGTAATATTGAATATGTGTATTAAAACATGAACTTCCTCTTCCTTGCATTTGTATGTGTGTGCATGTGTGTTTTTCTTGCACCACACTGCAGCTAGATCCTTTGTAACTTAAAGCTAAACCTAATAACATCATTCACTGCAGCAGCAAGATACTTTCCCCTAGAGTAGGATACAATGATGATGACATAATGCTGAGGTTTCCAAATCCCAAACCAGCTGTTACTGGTATATGCTTTCAAATTCACCGTCTCTGCATCCATGTGAGAGGCACAAAAGCTTGTGACTTGATTCAGTAAATGATTTATTATTTTGAATGTATAATTCAGGGACATAGCTTACGCATGGCTTCAGCCACAGAGCGGGGAAAAGTAATTTAGGCAGTTTCCTACTGTAATAGAACAGAGGAAAGATATAATCCATCTGCACAGACCCAGTAGGTATTTTCCACCAACTAGCATGGGATCTGCTCACTGATTTTGGACTGAGGGAACAACTAAAAGCTGCCAATTTTTTAAATTGTTTCTTCTCTCTGACAGACGCTCATACTAATTCCTTTATCCGCTATAAATAAACACAGCTGGGCATCAATCCCCTAACCCAAACTGCACCAAGAAACACAGTACCTATTCAAGTACTACTGGGTATATTATGTTGTAACTTCTGGTTGAATAAGGGTGGCAATAAAACTGCTGCCATGCTATGGATACTGCAAGAAGCTAAGATTCTCCTGTGCTTGCTGGTCTTGAATATTTGAGAATATTAGCTCAAAAAATGAAGGTCAGCTTTAAAGTAATTTCTCAACAGCAAGTCTAAAAAAAGAATACCACAGAAGCAACTTGAGACGTATGAGAAAGCTTTTTCCACTACAGTAAGTTGTTTTGACGGAGTACAAAATCCACCTCTGCATAAATCACTCGTTTGCAAGGCAGAGTCTGGATACATCAGTTGATAGTCTTACTTTAAATCCAGACTACATCAGACCTCTGAAACTCTTAACCTAATCCCTGCCCTCTGTACTATGTCATCATGGCAATTTGTTTCCAAGGTTACAGTATTTATTTACTCAAAGTAAAGCCAATGTGAACAACTGCCCTGAATTTTAGCAGGAAAAATGCATCCTTAGTGTAATTCCATTATCTGAGTGGTCTTGCGTCAGGGATGAATTTAGCCTATTAAGTTTTGGCACAACACTATCAGCGAGGGCAGTATCTGCTCAAGCCATATTATCTTCATTTGCAGAATGACACTGAAACCACTGTGCTTGTAATCGGCCATTTCTTTATGCGCATCTTTCTTTAAATGTACAGGCAGCTGGAGAAATAGAGAGCTGAACTGTAGCAGAAGTTGTCCAAATATTCCAAAATTCAAGGACTTCTCACAGAAAATAAAGGGATAATCTTGGTCAGATATATAATGAATTCTTTAGAGAGGAGGTGCAATCATGCACTGAATGTGAATCATGATCCACTGGATTTTTTGTAGCCAAGTAATTGATAATCAATCCGTACAGTTACAGTTGCATCAATCAATCATGTATCTGCAACGGTCCATATCAAACAAGCCAGCAGAAATCATGAAAGATCATTGCCAGTCCTTTCTCTGTGACAGGCAGATTTATTAAGCTGAGAAATTGCCCTGATGTAAACAAAAACTTTTCAGGTTAACCCAGACCAGGACGACTTCAGAAAAATGAAAGGGTTGTGCAGAGCTTATGCAGACAAGCCCTTCTTCTGTAGCTCTGCTTGTTTAACTAGAAAGGCTATCAACAGTTAATATAAAAGAGTTTGTAAAAGCCGGGAGAGGTGTGTGAGAAAACAAAACAAAGCAAAAAACCAAAACCAGGCTGTTCCAAAATCCCTCTTCAGGAAATTATAACAATTTTACAAAATCTGCACAGATTTTGATCTGTGCAGATCAAAATGATCCATTTAGATCCTCTAAAATGGTGCCTGAAAAACTGCTCCTGTGCCAAGATGTAACGCTTTCCATAGATGGAAGGAGTGTTGCTTGGTAGAAGACCATAGCATTAGGTCCCGTCTACTCTAGCTACTTACGGATGACAGATTAAAGGTGCTGAAGTGCTGGGCTCTTTTCGGAAAAAGCAGGTACCTGATCCACCTCAATATAACTGAGCAAAACAGTAATCTTCCCCCGACATAAAGCCATTGAAATCAAATGCGCTTCACAGGTGTGAAAGTGGAATAATCCTCTAAACACATATCTGATAAAAACCCTTTCCTTCATTAGATGGAAATATTAAAGCAGCATGGAATTCAACATTGCTATAATGAATGACTGATCATTTAGAAGTGCAGCTTTAACATTTTGAATGAACAAGTCTCAAACAGGACTCATAAGAGCAAGGAAGATGAGAATATGATTATCACTGTTGGTAGAGTAAGAACATAGCATTAATAGCACTGTTGCATAAAGTATGTACTCTCACCCAGATAGGAAACTCCTTCTTCTGGTGTGATTGTTCCATATTTTACCATCATCTTCACAAAATCAATCAGGGTTTTCATGATAGTTATCAAGGTCTCTTTCTCTTTTGCCTCCGTCTCTGTGTGAGGGGATAAAGCAAAACTAGTCAAAGACTTCAGGCAACTCGGAAAAGCTCAGTTCCGCAAACTCTGCACCAACTTCATGCATAAAAAATGACCTACTCACTAAAAAGAAAATGCTGTGCTGGATTAGCAAAGAGAACTCCTATATATGTTTCCCTTTAAACTGCTCCTGCAAAGTACAGCTGAATATACTTTAAACCTTCAGGGTTTGGTTCTTCTTGATAGCTTTTTGTCTTGAAGGTCTATGTTATGGAAGGCAAATGGTATTAATTCCATTTTACAGATAAGAACACTAAAGACACTGAGATGAAGTGACTTGACAGAGTTCGAATTGCTGGTCAGAGGGCAGATATAGGCAGATTTTTCTACAGTCTCTGTCTTTTTCTTTTATTTGTCTGTGAACTACTTAGTAGACCAGTCTGGCTCTGTATGAGGAAGATAGCTCAGAGATCCTTTCTCCTACAAGATCCATGGGTTCAATGACAAAAATATAAAGTGTCTCAAATGAGATTGCTACCGTGCACACAACCATGATTCAGGTACTGGGGAAACATAATATGACACGGTTGGGAGGATCCTGACTTCAGAATAGGATACGAACAATGATTTTTCATCATAAAAATCCATCTTGCTTGCCCATACGTATCTCTGACCAACTTCACGATCACTGCTTCTTAGCTTTCTTTTTCCACTGTGTTTATCTGCTGAACAATATTACTATTTCTGCATTAGCAGCATGAAACTCCCCCATCACACAGCTACACAAGCTCTTCCCGCACCCCAGGTTGTCACCAAAGGACCCAAGAGAGCCAGGGGCACTGTCAGACAGGGACAGTCAGAAACATACTCCCAGCCTTGGCAGAGGGCCAGCCCCTTTGGAGAGCTGCTGAACAGGATTTTTAATGCTGCCTGCAATTTAACACACATCTGTAGATTGCAATTGAATCCCCTCTCCTCCAGCCTGATACAAGCCGGCGGGTGAACAGCTTAAAGAGGGAGACAAAGCAGAGATGTGCAGCCAGTGGGACTTCATTCTATCTGCTTGATAACCTGTTAAACCCAACACGCCTTTCTGCTTTGTGAGTAGAAAAAAGGCAAAGAACTAGCATGCAAAACTACCACAGGAAAATGAAAAGAACAGAAAGAAGAATACGAAGTTTGTCGATTGGACTTGAGCAAAAATATGCCCTCAGGTTTTTCACGCTAGCTCTCCACTCAGGTGTTTATGGGGACAGTTTGAAGCAAGATTAAGGCTCCTGCAGGACGAGGAATCTACAGAATAAATTGTTGCTGACTGTGCTGGAGAGAGCAGAAGATATGCTGGCTGCAGAGAGTGAGAGTGGGTGTGTGGTAGAGTGTGCTGACAAAGGGGCTGTGGCGAGGTGCCACTATCTTGCCTGCAATAACTGGAAGGCAATGATGTCTAGCACCGGAATAGGAAGAGATGTGGAGAGCTTTCATTGCAATAAACAGCAAACCTGTGGTTTGTGAAAAGGCTGGGAGGCTCAGACTCATTTACTGGTACCATCACTGTGAGGATTCTGCTGTGGCTTACTCGTATCTCTGTTGGCTTAGAAGACACGGATGTTACTGGAAAGACCTCTGGAGAAAACAATTTGCCAGTTTTTCATCATGCCCTTATGGGAATGAAAAGAATTCAGGACTCCTGAATCCTGCAGCACAAGGTGGGGAGGGCTACCTAGGTCACACAGTTTGCAATTCTGAGTGCTGCTCCCCCCAATGTTTTGCCATACTCACTCATCAAATTAGTTTTTGCTATGCATCTTAGAGAACATTTTTAAAGCACATGGTCTCTTGCAACTAGGGAAGCTGTGGGGACGGGAAGGGAAAGGAGTAGGAAAAAACAGAGAGAATCTTAATTTTCTAATTTTTTTTCCTAAATGTTCCTGTAAACACATGATGAGCTCACCTGAGTTAAGACTTTTTAATAGTGCGTAAAAGTTTGGAAAATATTGGAGGTCTTCGAAATTATCTTCAGAAGGCAGCTCATTTCTTCTTTCCAAGATATTAGATGGTGACCATGTGTTATCCAGTGTATCATCAATCTCTCCATTAATGAAACTATCCTGATCAGCTTTGCTTGGTGTCTCCACAAAAGACATAAAAAAATAATATCTATAAGCACATTGCTTTTGGTGATAGAGTTAACAGAGCAATAAATAGCATCATAATCTTATGTCAACATTTTCCTAATTACGAGGTGAAGACCGTACTATTTTCTCAAAGTTATTTCAGTTTGGCATCTGGCTTAAAGCTCAAAGTAACCCACGATTCGTTTTTCTATCTATCTGGTGGAATTTCTTTAAGAACACCTTTAGTTTCCAGATTGAACCAATTATTCCCTAAAGCAAAGCAGTGTGTTGGTCTACTTGTACCGTTTGGCAAGTGAGTCAAAATGATTAG